TCCCTAATACTGCTTGCTTCCAATTTTAGGAATTTAAGTATTCTGTTTTCTTTACCATTCTAATTAAAGATTTTTTAAATTTTTTGATCTTTTCAAAGAATCACCTTAGTTTTGTTGATTCAATTATCTTTTTCATTTATCTTTTTTTAAAAATACTTTTAGGTTTGGCTTGCAATTCCCCACCTAGTTCCTTAATGTGTATGGCAAAGTTATTGATTTAGAACCTTTTTTCTTTATTAATTTCAGTGTTTGCATCTATAATTTTTTTTTTCCCCTTTGGTGAGCTCTGCATCTCATACATTTTGGTATCTCATGTTTTTATTTTCATTAATTTGAGAAAATATTTTCTAATTTGCCTTATAATTCATTTCTGATTTTTCTTTGACCCACTGATTGTTTAGATTGTATTGTTTAATTTCCACTTATTTGTCAGTTGTCCATTTCCTTTTGTTGTTGATTTCTAGGTATGGTTTTTGTTGTTGTTTCTTTGGGGAGGTTGACAGAGTCTCATTCTCTTACCCTGAGTGGAATGCAGTGGCATCATTATGGCTCATTCTAGGTTGAAGAGGTATTCTGTACTTAAAAATAAATATATTGGCTCTAAGTACACCAAATAATATTTTCTATCTTCTTTGCTGTTCTAGATAATTAACTGAATGTTTTTAGAGCTATCAGGGGAAACTACATGCTGACGAAGGGTAAGCACCTTCTAGTAGTGACAGGTGCCTCTTCCTCATGTATTTCTGCTCTTACTATAGAAATTTCCATGAAAGGGAGAACCAGTATAGAGCTGTTAAATGTTAAAATGCCATCTATGTTGTGGCTGAACTTGCTTCTGAATTTGTTCCTTTATTTGTGTTGTCTTAGTCTGTTTGAACTACACTAAAAGAATACTGAAGTGGTTTATGAACAACAAAAATTTATTTCTCATAGTTCTAGAGGTTGGGAAGTCTAAGGTCTGTGTGCAGGTATATTTGGTGTCTGGTGAGGGCCTGCTTCCTTGTTCATAAATTGGGCAAGTCAGCTCTCTAGGGCTGTTGACCTCAGCCCTGTACTGGTAAGCAGTGCACTAGTAAGAAGTTTCTTCTGTATTTATAATTTATAGCCATTCTCCATCGCTTGCTTAACTGCCTTAGCTCCACCTCTGTCAGCTCCTCACCCCACCCCAGGCCATGGAAAAATTATCTTGCATGAAACCAATCCTGGAGTCAAATAGTTGGAGACCTCTGCTCTAGGGCATCTTTTATAAAAGCATTAATCCTTCTCATGGGGCCTCTGGCCTCATGTGTTAGTCACTTCCCAAAGACTTTATCTCTTAATACCACCACACTGGGGATTAGGGTTTCAACATATTAATTTTGTGTGATAGTAACATTCTGTCTATAGTACTAGTTAAGGAAGTTTGAATGGTGTATTTTAATCATGATTTATTATCATTATTGATTAAACTATAATAATATTTATGAGACATTTTTGATCAAATTATAGTAGTAGACTGTATGAAACCTAAAATTTTCTTTAAAGTAGAATGAAAATTATAAATATTATGGAATGAATATATGTCTGTTTTAGATATTTGTTTAAAGAGGGAAAAGGCAAAAAAACCTTAGAGAAAATAGTGTTATTACTGTTGCTGGATATGAACTCTTTGGCTTATATTTTTCCCCTGAACATCTTATTTTTTTTTAATTGTTGGGGATTCATTGAGGGTACAAAGAACCAGGTTACATTGATTGCGTTTGTTAGATAAAGTCCCTCTTATAGTTGTGTCCCACCCCCCAAAGTGTGTCACATACTGTCCCTTACCCCACACTCCCCTCCCTTCTTCCCTCTTTCTGTTCTTTCATTCCCCCACTCTCTCCCACCTTTCCTCTCCTCTTCCTCCACCCCCCCCCACTCCTTCCCTCTCTCTGCTCTCCCCTTCCCTCACCCCTCACCATGTACTAGGTCATCAACTGTCCTCATATGAGAATTGAGTACATAGGATTTTTGCTTCTCCATTCTTGTGATGCTTTACTAAGAATAATGTGTTCCACTTCCATCCAGGTTAATACAAAGGATGTAAACTCTGCATCTTTTTTAATGGTTGAATAGTATTCCATGGTATACCTAGATCACAGCTTGTTAATCCATTCCTGGGTTGGTGGGCATTTAGGCTATTTCCACATTTTGGTGATTGTTTACAGTCTAGTGCAAGTGTCCTTATGGTAAAGGGATTTTTTTTTTCCCTTCTGTGTAGAGGCCCAGTAAACAGGATCAAATGGGAGGTCTAGCTTGAATTCTTTGAGGGTTCTCCATACTTCCTTCCAAAAATGTTGTATCAGTTTGCAGTCCCACCAGCAGTGTAAAAGTGTTCCTTTCTTTCCACATCCATGCCAGTATCTGCAGTTTTGAGATTTTGTGATGTGGGCCATTCTTGCTGAGGTTAAATGATACCTCAGGGTGGTTTTGATTTGTATTTCTCTAGTAATTAGGGATGATGAGCATTTTCTCATGTTTGCTAGCCATTTGTCTGTCTTCTTTAGAGAAGGTTCTGTTCATTTCTTGCCCATTGATATATGGGATTGTTGGCTTTTTTCATATGGATAAATTTGAGTTCTCGATAGATCCTAGTTATCAAGCTTTTGTCTGATTCAAAATATGCAAATATCCTTTCCCATTGTGTAGGTTGTCTATTTGCTTTGGTTGTTGTCTCCTTAGCTGTACAGAAGCTTTTCAGTTTACTTAAATCCTATTCATTTATTTTTGTTGTTGGAATTGCCATAGAAGTCGTCATAAAGTCTTTTCCCAGGCTGATATTTTCCAGTGTTTTTCCTACGCTTTCTTTGAGGTTTTTTATTGTTTCATGCCTTAAATTTAGGTCTTTTATCCACCACCTTGAACTAGTTTTTGTGAGTGGAGAAAAGTACAGGTCCACGAACCTGCAAGCCCTTGTGTATGTGGCTGGCACTCTAACCACTTAGCAATGGGTGCCAAGCCAGGTCCAGTTTCAGTCTTTTACATGTGAATATCCAGTTCTCCCAGCACCATTTATTGAATAGGGAGTCTTTCCCCAAGTGTATGTTCTCATTTGGTTTATCAAAGAGTAGGTGGCTGGTTTTGTTTGTTTGTTTGTTTATTTGTTTTGAGACAGAGTTTCACTGTATCACCCTCCATAGTGTGCTGTGGTGTCACAGCTCACAGCAACCTCAAACTCTTGGGCTTAAGTGATTCTTTTGCCTCAGCCTCCCAAGTAGCTGGGACTATAGGTGGCCCACCACAACGCCGAGCTATTTTTTGTTGTTGTTGCAGTTGTCATTAGTGTTTAGCTGGCCCAGGCTGTGTTCAAACCCACCAGCCTGGGTGTATGCCTGGCTATTTTTTGTTGTTGTTGTTGTAGTTGTCATTATTGTTTAGCAGGCCTAGTCTGGGTTCAAACCTGCAAGGCCTTGTGTATGTGGCTGGCACCCTAGCCACTTAGCTATGGGTGCCGAGCTAGAACATCTTAAATATATTACCTTAGTTTATTTTGCCATAAAATGTTGCCTTCAATCTCTGATTATTATACAGTTTTTATTCACTTTAAATCATTTGTTCTTCTTCAGGAATTCCTATAATCTGTACATTAGATCCCAACAGAGAGTCAGTCTTTATTTCTCTTGAATCCTTTTTCTCCTTCTTCATTGGAGATGTATTAGAGAACTTTAAAATTTCCTCCTTTTCATCTTCTATTTAGTAAGATATTAAATGGAATATATCTATTCTTAAGGTATTATCTGTGATTATCTATTTGTTCTTGGATTCCTTCTGCTTTAGCCCCTTTTTCTTCAAGTAATTTTCTAAATGTTATTCTACTTCTTTCTTAAATTTTGTTACCTCATTTCAAACATTGACTCTGAATGTTTTGTTTTGAAATAGTAGTTCACCATTTTATGTGTTTTGTATGTCTTTGATATGCTTTCTTTGTATGTTTGGGATGTTTCTTCACTCATTTTTTCACCATAATAATAACTGTTTTGGATTTGGCTTTGATATTTTTCTATTGCTTATTTTTATTTTTATTTATTATTTTGAGACAGGAGCCTCCAGCTGTCCCCCTGGGTAGAGTGCTGTGCCATCACAGCTCACAGCAACCTCCAACTCCTGGCTCAAGTGAATCTCCTGCCTCAGCCTCCCAAGTAGCTGGGACCACAGGCCCACGCCACAATGCCCACTATTTTTTTGGTTGCAGCTATCGTTGTTTGGCGGGCCTGGGCTGGATTCAAACCCGCCACCTTGGGTGTACATGGCTGGAGCCTTAGCCACTTGAGCCACAGGCGCTGACCCTATTGCTTATTTTTATATCATAGTTTTTTTCTGAATTGTGAGGAGGCTGAATTTGGAATGGCTTTTCTCCCTTTTTTTGTTTTCATATAGTTTGCAAAAATTTGGCCCCTATTTAATTGTTATATAGATGCCGCCTGGCTCTGCCCCATCTTGATCTTTTCTTTGTCTCTGTCACCCCTGTGTTGCTGAATGGATGCCACTCACAATGGTGCTTTCTTTTCTTGTGGGCCCTTGTACGGGAAAGGAGTCCTGACTGACATGCTTTGAGTGTCTTGGGCTGCTCTCGTTCCTTCGTATCTTTTCAGGGTCAGAGCCTTTGCTGTCACCAAGTTCTAGGCACTGTTCTCAGATGGATTGCCTGCTCAACTTCCCAGGAAGTACTGATGTCTACTTTCTCAGCGTCTCCTTTGTCCCCTTGCTTCCATCCTTTCAGATACTGACACCATGCAAGAATTTGGAGGGGTGGTGCTTTGTCCTCACTCGCTTTTATTTTGGAGTTTGGTGATTAATTATAAGTGGTGTCTCTGGGTTTTTGCTTTTGCTATCTATGTTAATGTGAAGATTCAGAGATGTTCAAATACTTTGCCTACCTAATACTCCCATTCTTGGGTTTCCAAATTGTTAATTGTCAACTTAATGTATATTAAACGAAGTTGATTTTGTTTTGTTTTTTTCTTTAAAAATCATCTCCACAGAGAAAAAGGAATTGGGATATAGAGTACCCATTGTTTCCAGGAGAGAGGCCACAGCAGGTCAGAAGAGCAGATCTCAAGACAGCAGCGGCAGCTGCCTCCCTCTCTGAAGCATGGCTCAGGTGTGGAGAAGGATTTCAGGACACCTTCGGGACTCTGGTAAGATAACTGTAAAATTGTTTTTCCTGAATAGTGAAGAGTAAATCCTAAAATTCATGAGTGTTCAGGCTATTGTAATTCCTTTTCTTTGTAATTCCTTTACTTATTTTCTTTTAGGACACTGTAATTGGTACATTACTTTTTTTGCCTCATTCTTTGAATTCCTTTAATAATTGTGGCAAGTTTGTATTCATCTCTTGCAGAACCTTTCTACTTCTTTGTAAGCGAAGTATATATACTTAGAATGTTATCCGAAGGAGAAACCATTGAGCATACTACTCTTCACAGGAAGTATGTTTATGAAATGTTTTCAGGCAGACTTTGGAGACATAGAGGATTTGGTTTTAGACCACTACAATAAAGCAAATATTGCAATAAAGTGTGTCATACGAACTTTGTGGTGTCCCAGTATGTATAAAAGTTATGTTTATACTATACTGTAGTCTTATTAAATGTGCAGTAGTATTATGTCTAAGAAAATGTACATACCTTAAGTAAAAATATTTGATTGCTTAAAAATGCTAACAATCATCCAAGTTTTCAGAGAGTTGTAACTTTGTTGGGGGAGGATCTTGCCTTGATTCTGAGGGCTGCTGATGGATAAAGATCAAGTGATCGCTGAAGACTGCAGTAGCTGTGGCAATTTCTTAAAATAAGGCAACGAAGTTTGCCACATCTATTAACTTTTCCTTTTAGAAAGATTTTTCTGTAGAATGTGATGCTGTTTCACAGCATTTTGCCCACAATATAACTTTTTTGAGAATTGGACTCATTCTTCTCAAAACCTGTGACTGCTTTATCAACGATATTTATAAACTATTCCAGATTCTTTGTTGTCGTTTCAATAATGTCCACCATATTTTCACCAGTAGATTCTATTTCAAGAATCTGTTTTCTTTGTTCATCCATAGGAAGGATGGATAGTTAGCTATTCAGAATAGCTAAGAATACGTAGCTATTCAAGTTTTATCTTGAGATTGCATCAGTCCATTCACGTCTTCTAATTCATCCATCTCCACATCTTCTAATTCAAGTTCTCTTACTATTTCAACTATATCTTCAGTTGTTTCCTCCACTGAAGTAATCTTAAACCCTTTAAAGTCGTCCATGAGATTTGGAATGAATTTTTAAGATCTTGATAATGTTCTTGTTCTGATCTCCTCTCATGAATCATCAGTGTTCTTAATCACATCTAGAATAGTGAATCCTTTTCAGAGGTCTCCTGTTCCCTTCCCTTCTCTCATAGGAAACAGGGTCTTCCCCTGTTGCCCAGACTAGAATACAGTGGCATGATCATAAATCAATGCAGTGTTAAACCCCTGGGCTCAAGTTATCCTCCTGCCTCAGCCTCCTGAGTAGGTAGGATTATAGATATATGCTAAAATCGATACATCCCACTATACCTGGATAATTTTTTTATTTATTTGTGGTATCGGCCAGGCGGTTCTTGAACTTCTGGCTTTGAGCAATCTTCCTGTCTTGGTTTCCCAAAATGGTGGGATTACAGGTATTAGCCACCATACTTGGCCTTCAGAAGATTTTCAGTTTACTTTGCCCAAATCCATAAGAGAAATCACTGTCTGTGTTACCTATAGCATTACAAACTGTATTTCTTAAATAATGAGATTTGAAAGTCAAAATCAGTTCTTGATTTATGGACTGCAGAATGGATTTTGTGTTAGCAGACATGTTAATCTCCCAGTACATCTCCATCAGGGCTCTTGGGTGAGGTGACCAGGTACATTGTCAATGGCAGTAATCATCTGAAAAGAAATTTTTTTTCTGAGCAAAGTCTCAATAGTAGGGACTTAAAGTAGATGGTAAATCATGATATAAACAGAGGTGCTGTCTTTCAGACTTTGTTGTTTCATTTGTAGAGCATAGGGAAAATAGATTTATCATAATTCTTAAAGACCCTGGTATTTTCAAAGTAGTAAATGAGCATTGGCTTCAGTTTAAAGTCACCAACTGAAATAACCCCCTAACAAGTCTCCTCTCTGGCTATGAAAGTTCTAGATGGTATCTTCTTCCAATAGAAGGATTTTTCACCTACATTGAAAATTTGCTGTTTAGTGTAGCGACCTTCATCAGTGATCTTAGCTAGATCTTCTGGATAACTTGCTGCAGTTTCTATATTAGTGCTTGCTGCTTCACTTTACACTCTCATGTTGTGGAGATGCCTTCTCTCCTTAAACCTCCTGAACTAAGCTTTGCTAGTTTCAGACTCTTCTTCTGCAACTTTTTCACTTCTTCCAGCCTTCACAGAATTGAAGAGATGTTGGCCCTTGCTCTGGATCAGGTGTTGACCTAATGGAATGTTGTGGCTGGTTCATTTTATCTACTCTGCTAAACTTTCTATAAGGAATAAGGGTGTTTCACGTTATCATTCATGTGTTCACTAGAGTAACACTTTAATTTCCTAAGAACTCACTCCTCCCAAAAGATAAAGAGAACAAACAAAATGAACTTTTCTTTTGCATTCACAATTTGGGTAACTATTTGGCTCAAAACACTTAGCTTTTGGCCTGTCTCAGCTTTTGACATGCCTTCCTTGCTAAGCTAACCTTATTCTTTTCTAACTTTTGATTTAGGATGAGAGATGTGTGACTCTTCATTTCTCTTGAGCACTTAAAAGTCACTGTAGGGTTTTAATTTCAATATGTTGTATCTCATGGAATAGGGAGGACTGAGGAGACAGATGGAGGAACAACTGGTCAGTGTAGCAGTCAGAACCAGACAACATTTATTTATTAAATTTGCTGTCTTGGCAAAGTTGTCCAAAAGATCTAGCTAAGATCTCTGTCGGGGGCAGGGGGTGTCACTCGAGGCTAAGAGCTTGAGACCAGTCTGAGCAATAGTAAGACCCTATCTCTACCAAAAATACAAAAAAAATTAACTGGGCATGGTGGTGCGTGTCTGTAGTCTTAGCTACTTGAGAGGCTGAGGCAGGGAGGATAACTTGAGCCCAGGAGTTTGAGGTTATAGTGAGCTATTATGATGCCACTGCACTCTACCCAGGGCAACAGAGCAAGACTTTCTCAAAAAAAAAAATTGCTGTCTTGTGTTAGTTACAACAGTAACAATTATAACAGGTGTAATAATGAAGTTTGAAATTGGGCTAATTACCCAGTAATGACACAGAGACACAAGGTGAGCACGTGGTGTTGGAAAAATGGCCCTGATAGACTTGCTTGACTTGGGGTTACCACAAACTTTTAGTAAAAAATGTTCTATACACAAAACACAATAAAGTGGTGCATGGTGAAAATGGGGTAAGCCTGTGTGTTCAAAATCTTTTGGCAGTGAAATACGCTGGTTGATTTTTGTGTATGTGATCTTACAATATAGAGGAATAGAAGAATGCTGTTATAACTTCTGAAGATAATTTGGATATAGGTTGAGTAATGAAGACCTCATAGGTGGTCAGGGTCATATATATGAAGTTACTGACATTGAATGTTAATATGAAATATTTTGATCAGTGAGATCTTTGTTTAGATTTAGGAAACATAAAAATATAAGTATATAAAGAATATTTTTAAAATACTGAAATTGGTAAATATAAGTAAAGGAAATCAGAGAAATAAGTTAAGCAGGATATAATTTAATATTTTGAATATTTTACAAAATATTGTTGGTTTTTAACTTTTGTTACATGAATGACATTATTATTTTCCCTACAGTCATTCACAGCTGAAAAGAAGACTGTTACAGAAAATCACCTCGAATTATTCCCTAGATCTAAGAAAGGTAATACTATTTTATTGGTTTCTTTTCTTTTCTTTTTTTGTGTTTTAAGACAGAGCCTCAAGCTATGACCCTGTGTAGAGTGCTGTTACATCACAGCTCACAGCAACCTCCAACTCCTGGGCTGAAGCGATTCTCTTACCTCAGCCTCCCGAGTAGCTGGAAGTACAGGTGCCTACCATAATGCCGGCTATTTTTTGGTTGTAGTCATTGTTTGGCAGGCCCAGGCCAGATTTGAACCCCGATAGCTCTGGTGTATGTGGCTGGCGCCTTAGCCACTTGAGCTAGAGGTGCTGCCACCCATTTCTATGGTTTCTTAACCAAGGAAGTACAAAGCTAATATTTCCCTATGTGATTTTTTTTTTCCTTTCTTTTTAAAAGTTACTTACATAGTTTGGGAAGGTTGTATATTCATGGTTAAAACACATCTAGACAATGTAAAAAGATATTTTTGAGAACTCTGTCTCTCATCTCTATTCTGGTCTACTCCATCCCTCCTGCTCTCTGCAAGTAATTATTAACACTTGCTGTGTGTGCTTTGTCCCTTTTACTCACAGGGCCCAGCAGGTTAACCCATGGTTATAGCTCCAGTGTTTTCTTTTTCTTTCTTTTTTTAAATATGATTTTGGGAAATAAACACGACCTATCCTATAAGAATTATATGGCTGCAGACTGAAATTTTTGGTGAATTAGTTTGGGAAGGCTTTTAATCTATAAGTAGTAGGAAACTATTCACTCTAGTGTTTGAACAAATGGGGTTGCATTTGTCTCTGGGAACTAGACATGCAGTGGGCTAGAGTTCTGCAGCATTAGTGTGGAATTGGTTCTGAAGCTTTGTAAGGTGGTTGCTGAGTCCTACAGTCCAAATTCTTGACAAGAATATAGGTGGTGAGGAGTTTTGTCACTTTGCTGTTCCTTGGGGAGGAGTGCCTCCCCCTGTACCTTTGCCCTTGGCTAGAACCTATTGCATACATAGGGTGACTGCCCCTAAAAGACACTTTAGTGAAATTAAGGGTTTATTTATTTATTTATTATTTATTTATTTATTTTGAGACAGAACCTCAAGCTGTCCCCCTGGGTAGAGTGCTATGGCATCACAACTCATGGCAACCTCCAACTCCTGGGCTCAAGCGAGTCTCCTACCTCTGCCTCCCAAGTAGCTGGGACCACAGGCACCCGCCACAACGCCCAGCTATTTTTTGGTTGTAGCTGTCATTTTTTTTTTTGGCAGGCCCAGGCTGGATTTGAACCTGCCACCTTAGGTGTATATGGCTGGCGCCTTAGCCACTTAAGCCACAGGCGCTGAGCCAAGGATTTTTATATAGGTATGTTGCTAAGTGTTCAGTGGACACTTAAGGAGATTCTTTTCTATGGACACTGAAGGAGATTCTTTTCTATGCAAATGAAAAATAAAATTTTTCAAATATTTCTTTAAAATTCATAAAATGATGCAATATAAAATAAAATGGTAGACACCCATTTGTAATACCATAATCTTCTGATGAAACTGAAGAATTTTACTTTTCGTTTTAGTGCCACATGCTATGATATTCAAAGCTCAATTTAATTTTTATTTCTGAAACTTCATAAAATACGGAGAAAGCAGTATTTTTGTTTAAACAGATGTGGCACATATCTTTTTCTGGAGATTTTAAATAAGGATACCAAATTTAACTTTGAGAAAGAAGCATTAATCTTTTCTGATCCTGTGTCAGACCTTGTCCAACATAACTTTCCCATCCTGCTTTGATGTCAGAAGATGTTCAACACTTTGTTGTTGTTGTTGCATTTGTTCACAAAATAGGGCCTATGAATTTTTTCCTGTGTGATTCAGAAAATGATTGTATTTTCTCACATTCCCTATTATGGCAAGATAAAAATATAAAGTCTTATTCATCTTGATTTTCCATTTATACCTCCAAGTGATTCTTTTGGCACAAGTTTTAACAAGCACATACAAGTGGTTCAGGCTATCACATTGATAGGTTCTATATAAGCCTTCAACTTGCTAGGCAATTGCATAAAATGAAAATATGTATGACAGGAACACTTATGACTTCTAAGAAGGATTTTCCAAGTGATCTGAAAAAGAAGAAACTTCAGGAATGTGAATTATGTGCTTATCAATGTGATAGGATGCTAAGTACATTCTTTGGCCCATAAACACAATTGATCACTGGTTAATATGACAGTTGTTTTAGAATATTCAAAGTTTACGAGAAGAATGGACAGAGCTGATCAGTATTATGGATGTTGCGGGTTTATAAGGAGGTCCTATAAATGGTGGGAGATGTATTCTTTTACCTGATAGAAGTTGCAGTTGTGAACAGCTACATCCTTTACTCATTAGATAAGAAGGAAAGTGGAGAAAAAGTTCAGACACCTCTTTCTTACAAGAGAAATCTCATCATTCAGCTTGTGAGCAATGTGAGGAACAGAAATTCAAGAAAGAGGGGAAGACCATCATCTTCTGACACTGAGGAAAGGCTAAATGGAAGATGCATTTTATACTGCAAATGAAAAAATCAGCAAAGGATTGCATGGTTTGTAGCAGAAGAAATGAGAAAAGTAGAAGGAGAGAAACCATTTCTATAGTGAGACATGTGGGAAGTAGCCTGGACTTTATCCTGGAGATTGCTTCAAGAAGTATCACACTCAAAAAAATTATAAAAAAAATAATTAATTTACATAACCTAAAATAAATAATAAAATCATCAAGTGAGTTCATATTTATGTATTTCTCTTTTAAAACTGTAAGATAATTACAAGTGATCCACCAATTTGTTTCCTGTCCAAAATAAATAAAAGCTAAGGGAATATGCAGGTGGCAGAAAAATTGGGACAGGGCTTAATAAGTTGCTACTTTGAATTAATTACATAATGATCTTTAGGAATGGTTTTACCATGTCTATGAATATTCACCTCACTTTGATATAGTTTCTACAGTATAGAATGATCAATATATTTTGAAAGGCTGAAAGAGTTTATTTATTGCATATGTAGCTTGTTAACAAAGTTACTGTTAATAATTTAATAAATTTTTAAATTTTTTTTATTGTGATCTCTATTCATAATAGAGATAAGAGGAAAAAGGATTCAAGGCATTTCCTAGAATGGATTTATTTTTAAAACAGTAACTTCTAAAATGCAGTGGAACCTCTCTAAGTTGACCACCCAAGGGACTGTACCAAACTGATCAACATACAGAGGTGGTCAACGTAAGGAACTAGACCTATTGTACATGTATTTTACTTTCTTGTAAAACTTTTATTAGAGAATATCATACATAATCAAAACACAGTGAAATCATTCATATAGTGTCAGACACAATCAATACATTTAATCAGCACATTTACAGTTTTCTTATGGCTTAATCATTCCTTCTGTTTGAGTCAATCTTCGCCTGTTTCTTATTCCTATTAGAAACATAATTGGAGAAAGCACTCTCAAGGCTGCCTATGCCACTCAGCATTCTTGGACATTTTTCCATAGCAGGGGACTTCAACTGCATTGTCAGATGCCTCACGTCCTCCTCTTTTGGAGTGTCTGCAATCTCTGTGTCATCCTCACTTGCTTTTTCTACTTCGTCAGCTGCTTCTTGCACTTTTATGCTGTTCTGTACTTTGGTCAATATCACTTGGAAAATTGTTTCCTGATCAAGTTCATTGTAGTTTGCCACTTCATTATCTATTTCAATAAAACCTTCAAAATCTACTCCATGGAATTCTGCCATAGGAGATGGACTATCCAATGAGACCAAAACATTGTGCTCCTGGTTGTGACAAATCCAACTTTCTTGAAACATTTGTGTATCATTTCTGGCTGAATTTTATTCCAAGCAGACTGGATCCAGAGGATATCATGTGGAGTGTTAACTGATGCAGCAGATGAAGTTGCTTCCACAGGCGGCCACTGGTTTTTGTTTAATAACCACCCACTGCAGGAGCTGGGCCCAGTAGTGCATTTTTATTTTTTTTGAGACAGAGTCTTACTATGTTGCCCTCAGTAGAGTACTGTGGTGTCACAGCTCGCAGCATCCTCAAGAGAATTGCTTAAGCCCAAGAGGGATGATGAGCATTTTTTTAAAGTTTGTTAGCCATTCATCTGTCTTCGTCAGAGAAGGTTCTGTTCATATCTCTTGCCCAGAGGTGCTTGGGGTTGTTTACTCTTTTTCTGTTGATTAATTTGAGTTTTAAGAGATTTCAGTTGTCAATCCTTTGTCAGATTGGCACCTTGCAAATATCTTTTCCAATTCTGAAGGTTGTCTTTTTGCTTCACTTGTTGTGTCCTTAGCTGTGCTTAATTAAGTCCCATTTGTTAATTTTTTTTGTTGTTGCAATGGCCACTGAGGTCTTGGTCATATAATCTTTCCCCAGTCTAATATCATCAAGAGTTTTCTCCACACTTTCTTCTAAGATTTTCATCCTTTGTGTCTTAAATTTAAGTCTCTTGTCCACTGAGTCAATTTTTGTAAGGGGTGAAATGTGTGGGTCAAGTTTCAGTCTTTTACATGTGGTTATCCACTTCTCCCATTTGTTGGATAGGGATTTCCCTACTGTATGCTTTTGTTAGGTTTATCAAAGATCAGATGGCAAGTAGAGACTGGTTTCAAATCTTGGTTTTCTATTCTGTTCCATATGTCTGTGTCTCTATTTTTGTGCCAATAGTATGCTGTTTTGATCATTATGGCCTTCTAGTATAGCTTGAAGTCTGATAGGGTGATGCCTCTGGATTTGTTTTTATTACTAAGAATAGCCTTAGCTATGCAGGGTTTTTCTGGTTCCATACAAAACAAAGTACTATTTTTTTCCAGTTCTTCAAAATATAATGTTGGTATTTTAATGGGGATTGCAATTTGATTGTAGATTGCTTTGGGTAGAATAGACATTTGACAATGTTGAGTCTTTGCAGCCAAGAGCGTGGTATATTCTTCCATTTGTTAGGGTCTTCTTCACTTTATTTTCTTAGGGTTTCATAATTTTCTTTGTTAGGTATATTTCTAA